GGTGTGAATAACTATGCGAATCAACATGGTGCACTCAATGTCACTATCACCTAATCAATATGCCAGTTAGCCACACACATTCCATTGATCTATGATAAACATTGAGCCACCCTTCGCAACTAATGTCAACCCCAAATTAGTGTGTCGGTTAACCACACGCGCTCAACTAACGTTTGACAAGGGTACGAAGCGTAATTCCATGGAATAATGTCATTTTCACATTTTACCCTAAAGTAACTAAGATTGGGAATTTGAAAAACATTTAGTTACTTGTAATATTCATTATACTTATAATGAGGAATTAAATGCCCTATCATATCCGTTCGGCTAACGACCATCCACCAATCAAGGAAGCGGTGGCTGAGAGTGGACACCCATTAAGCACCATTTTATAGGCAGCAACCTTATACCCCCCCCCCCTTATAGACCAGTTTCGTGAATGAGGCCTACTAGCGATAAAAGTAGCTTATTCTTATATATATATATATATATATATATATATATATATATATATATTAATCTTATAATAAATAAAGTATAAGGTTGAATTTTAAACTTGTAAAATTCTAAGGGTTTGAAATTTAAATAATTCAAAATTAAACTTTTAATCAAAAATTTAAATTCCAAAACTTGAGGACAAGTTTTTAACTTTTCAAAACACAAAGGATCAAATAACAAATAATATAAATTAAACAATTAATTTTGTGATTATCTATATATGACCTCATCCAATGTTATTCATAAGATAATTACCAAATGATTTAAACAATCAAAATTTATCATATAAAGAAACTATTATTCAAATGATTTAAAATTATCTTTTGTTTTGGTAAGGATAATCATTTAAACACAATAAAATTCGGATTTTATCATTAAAAAACAGCTTTGGCATTTATCCATCAGCAAAATAGCAATAAATCCCGAAAATCTTTCTGTCTGACAGCTAAACTCCTCGAGTCCACCTTGGAACTCGTCGAGTTCAACCTGCTCGTCGAGTTCATTAGGCAGTTTGCAATAAAAAAACGATTTTAATGCTTGAACAAATAAACTAGGCATCAATACAATAGAAACCAAACCAGTCTCTGATAACACTAATGGGTTTTACACACAAGAACTTTCCTATGTGCTCATGCAAACCCTAATGCTTGGATCTAGGTTTCTCTATTGTACATGCATTGTATCCAAGACTTACAAACCCTAATCTAGCATACATATTTCGAAAATATCAAGATATACCAGATCTAGATGTTTACCTCTTCAAAAATCTTGGATCTTCTTCTTCTTGGAGCTTAGAGTCACAAGTGTAACTCCTCTAATGGCGTACAAACACCACACAAGCAAGAAGTCAATATGAGAGAGGGAAGAGATGCTAAAAATCGGCCCTAGGGTTTCCTTAGAATCAAGTGGCCGAAAATTGCATGTAGGGGTCTCTATTTATATTGTAGGTTGCTAGGGTTTCAGTTAAAAATCCTAATGGATAACTTAATCACCAAGCAGCCCATGGAATCTTCTGGAATAAGGCCTATGGACGAAAATATGATTTTCATCATAATTTCGTTCACCCTTTAATCCATTAGGTTTCTCAACCCAAGAACCAACTATCACGCATTTGACAGTTTAAGCCCCTATATTTAATTAATCTCTTTTGGCCACTAAATTAATTCCTAATTAATTTATGACTAATATTAATTAAATAATATGATTTCCCTTTTAATATATTAATCACATAATATATTAATAAATCATAATTTCCTCTCTCTCCATAAATTACCTTGTCAAGTTGCTTTGGTGAAGGCAACCCAAAAGAACCATGCACAACCGGTTCAAGTTCATACCAAATACAGTTTCGGGCTTAGACACTAATCCAACAAGTTATCGATCCAGTTGATGATGCAGAGGTATGTTAGAAATAACAACATACTTTGATTTCTTCTTATTTCATCATTGTCCTTTAAAGTACATTGCATGTATAAGAAACATTGAAACTATTTCTTACATTCAGCCCAATACAATTTTTGTTTTTGTGTCAGGTGAAAGTGGGAGGAGAGGTGCAAAATAGAGGGTAGGCAATAGAAAGAAATGAAAGTGGTGTTGTGTGATGTTGTAATAGAAAGAAATGAAAATGAGATGCCATAATAATCAAATAAATGAAATTATATTGTTATTTCTTACATTTAACCCAATAACATTGTACATTTGGCTCAACCCTTCCTAACCATAAAATTGAAACAACAAGATTCTAATAGAAAGAAATGGAAGTATGACGCTATAATAACATATAAATGAAAGTACATTGATATTGATTGCATTAATCTTAACAACATTATATATGGTGGACATTTGAAAGTGTTGGCAAAGACAATAACACATTGTTTGAAGAAGTGAGGATCATGGTTTTAAAATAAACAAGGTGGAGCAGTTGGAAAAAAAATCCTACACTCAATGTGAAAAGCACTTCTTAATTCCATGAGAGGTTAAACTTTCTGCACATATAATATCTATATTACTTTGTATCTGTCTGCATTAGCCCATTATAAATGTCATATAATTTTTGTATTATTTTTTTGTTTGCATTTTTTAGAAAAATTGTAGCCATTATTATATTTTGATTGGACAATCGGAGACACCTAAGAGATGTATATTTTTAGTGGCTTTTTTCTTATACTAAATGACAAATGAAGGAAAGATAGTAAAAAGATAATTCAAGTTGAAGGAAGGTTGGTAGTAAAGGAGTAAACATTTGGTTCTGATTGCATATTTTAGGGTATATTGGAAAAATTAGCTATAATCAGGGAATAAAATGTTAAAATAACCTCAAATAAGGACCAAAATTGTAAGATGGAAAAATAAGCTGTAATCATTGGTCTCTATTCAAACTAAAGGAGTAACACAGGTCCTATTCAAAGTAAAATATGTATAGTTTTAGGACAAAAATTGGAAAAATCAGCTATGATCGGGGATTAAAATAGTCATTTCGCTTGGAACAATGACACAACATGTTACAATAACGGCCGATATGTATAGTTTTAGGGTACACACTTTTGTGTATCATAAATCACTGCGTGTCATAGTTTGCGCGTCATTAAAAGCCTGTATTCTTGAAGTGAACCTCAAATAAGGACCAAGAATGCAAAGATAAAAACTTTCTAGGACCAAAATTGAAAAAAATATATACTCATGGATCAAAATATAATTAAATCATAATCTTATGTTTCTTTTCTTTAGCAGGGTGTTAAGATAGATGATCCATAAGCGTTTAATGGCCAAGAGGTGGAGGTTTGGTCACATGTTGTGTGGAAGCCAAAATGGGCAGTTACATTTCTGATGTTAAAAGGAAATCGATGGAAACAACAACTATGTTTTTCAAAAATCTACTTTGGTCATTAGAGGTCGTATTGTTCTTATTGAAGATGTGTCACTTGATGGAACTCAGTTATCAGTTCACTTGATGATTTTGAGTTATGTTAGAAATAGCAATGTACTTTCATTTACCCCAACCTAACCTATTTAATGAGCAGGTTGAACCTGAGTTGATCTATTCAAATTTCCAAAAATATACCCTTGAAAATCAACTAATCCTTCAAACACAATTACATAAAACTTAAAAACTCTGATAATTGTTCACGTTTGAAAATAATATTACGATAAGTCTCTAGTAGAAACACAAATCAAGAGTTTACAACCATAAAAACATTATACACGTATAATCTTTAAATGCTAGACAGCTCAACTTTCAATAATGATCACCAATCCACATTTTTTGAGTAATAAAAATAATAAAACTATAATAATCAATATATATATATATATATATATATATATATATATATATATATATATATATATATATAAGATAATATTAAAAAAATTTAAGCGGGGTCGCTGGCTGTAAGCAGATTGAGAATTTTAACCCTAACATAACCCATTTAATTAAATATATTAGACGGGTTAAGCCGTTTAGTTAAACGTGTTAAAGATCTCAACCAAACCAACTAATTACCAACCCTAAATAAAGGGTGGATGATTGAAAGTGTTGATAAAAACAAAAGTGTGTTACCTAAAGAAATGAAGATTGGGGATTTCAAAAATAATATAAATGGAGCAATTGGAAACATCTTATAGTGAACCTAGGAAGCATTCCTTGAAGGCATGAGGTTAAACTTTTTGTATATTTGATTCTAACCATATGGTGCTAATATGACGTTCATGTGGACTTTCTCTTTTATTTAATTCTTATTTTATTAAACGTTAAATTTATTTAAATATAAAAGAATAATTAATATGTATATTTTTATTTATTGAAAACCTTAGAGTGATATTATGGGCAAAAAGTGCAAGTTCAAACGGTACCTATTATCTTTTATTCTCAACCTTTTCTTTCTAAAAAACTTGTTCATCTATAGACTTGGGGTCATGTGTTGCAGATACAATAGAGGTCATTTGTTGCAGATACAATAGAGAACTCAATAATAGAAATGATAAACTAGAGTAAATTAAGCTTTCAATTTCCATTTATAACTTTTTTTTTTTGGGTTGGGGGGGAGGGGGGGGGGAGGAGGAGGAGGGAGGGGGAGGGGTGCAATTTTCGGTTGCTCATTTATTTCGGAATCATTGATGCAGAAAACCGATGCTAATGACGTTTTCCATTGCGAAATATAATGGAAGTGCCAAAGTATGATATCTAATGGATTTACAATTACACCATTACTAAACAGGGTGTTCGTTTCAAACAAAATTGATTTGTATCAAACTATTTTTTTTCCACAATGGTCCGGTTTGGTTTCCAATTTTTTTAGTGTACCTCTAATTTTCATTGTGTTTTTTTATGCTACGAATGTATGATTTTTTTAGAATATATTATTTCATACAAAACAGGGAAAATGGCCACCCATGGTGTTGGTGGCAAATATATTGATATGGGGGATTTAAAAACTCCAACCAAATTACATTACATTACATACTGGAAAATAAGAAATCAAAAATAAAAACTAGATGACAAACTACGTGTGTCTAGCCTTTTGCAAACTTGAAACGAACACAACCACTTTCACATAAACCCAATCTTTGAAGCTGTCATAAAATTGAAAAAATGCACGTCTCCCTCGACGGTTGAGAAGTAAAGCGCCACATGCTATCCAAAATCCAGTAGCAAAACCAATGCCCACACCAGTATAAAACCATCCCCAGAGTTCATCATTTGTGTCTTCCCCATCACCCTCACCTTTACCAATAAGAGGTGGTACTTTTGATTCTTCATCTAGAGGACAACTTTTGGTAAGAGGAGGTCCACATAGACGTGCATTTCCATTGTATCTTGATGGTTGAAAGGATTGGAGTTGAGTGCTGGTTGGGATTCTTCCAGACAAGTTATTAAATGACAAATCTAGGTCATTCAATAAACTCATCTGAGACATGCTTGATGGTATCCTCCCTGATAAATTGTTTCTGGATAAATCCACCGTTAGAAGCTTTTTCATCTCACCAATATGCTGTGGAATCTCTCCAGATAGAGCATTCATTGAAAAATTCAGGGCAATCAAATCTGAAAGATTGGTAATTTGATATGGGATTTGTCCTGTTAAGTTGTTGCTTGACAGGTCAATGCTCTTCACCAATTTCAGAGTACTTAAGAATTCATGTTCACCTCCTTGCCACTGAATCATTGCATGGTCAACATATATCCCTGATGCATATACAATACGGTTTATACTTGTTTGAAAGTATACATCTTGTAAGACTCCTCCTTGGTGAACCATGCTCGTAAGATTACTCAAACATGAGGGGATGGTTCCATGAAGATTGTTCATCGACAGGTCTACAATTTGAAGATTACCTAATTGACATAACTGTAAAGGGATGGTTCCAAAGAAGTTATTTGATCTTAGGATAAGAACATACAGCCACAATAAGTTTTCCCCAATCCAGACAGGCACATTACCAGAAAACTTGTTGGCCCCCAAATTCAATGAGATTAAACCCGTGCAATTTTTTAAGGACAAAGGCAATTCTCCAGAGAAGTTGTTCTTGAATAAATACAACACCTGGAGTTGTATCAAAGATCCAACAGAGGGAGGAATACGTCCAAAGAGATTGTTGTGTCCAAGATTAAGAACTTGTAGTCCTTTGAAACGCCACAAACAGTCCGGGAGTTGTCCGATTAATGAGTTATGAGAGAGATCAAGAAATGATAAGAACCCATCAACAATTTGGCATACAAATGAGATTCCCCCAGAAAATTTGTTTCTGGAAAGATTTAATAAGAACAAGGTGGAAGGAACATTCGGTATTGGACCATAAAAGTTGTTGGAACTCAAATCTATCTCTGAATATTTGGCAAAATTTGATGATAAATCTGGTACTTTCCTGCTAATGTTGTTGGAAGAGAGATTCAGATATTCTAATTGAGAAGGCCAGCTGTCCCAAAACTCCAGAGGAATTGTGTCTGAAATTCCAGTATTGGAAAGATCAAGATGGGTAAGATTTTTGAGTGTCTGAATCCATTTGGGGAAGCGAGGCCCTACCTTGCAAGAGCTCAGATCAAGATACTGAAAATAAGAGATGTTTGACAAGTGATCTGGGGAAGGAACTGTAAGATTATTAGAAGAAAGGTAAAGAGTTCGGAGCCTGGGTAGTTCCCACAGTTTCTCACTTATACTTCCATTTAACTGATTATCAGATAAGCCCAAGTATTCGAGGGATGAAAACTTTTGGATCTCATCGGACAATGATCCTATAAATTGGCTATGAGAAGCATCCAACCATTGTAATGAAAGGGATGTGCATCCAGACAAGTTGTTGAGAAAATCAGGAAATTTGACAGCAGCAGAGTTGTTGTAGAAGGATAAAGTTTCCAGACTACAGAGGTTACCAAGATATTTGGGTATCCCATCTACATATTGTCAGAGAGATATAGTCCATTAAGCTTATTGCTGGTTAATGGGAGCACCAACGATACATGGATGATGTGAGATTGTTGTCACTGAGATAAAGGGTATGAATAGATGAAGAAGAAGAAGAGTTGAGAAAAGAAGAATATGGATACATAACCTGTGACAGCTCACATCTCCCTAAACTTAAACGCAACAGTTTTGGGAGACTCGAAATTACACCTACCCAATTATTTGCTTTCGCAAGGGAAATCCCATCCATTCTCAGATCCTCCAAATGAGAGAGATGAGACAACCACTCTACCTTTTCAACTCTACACCTTCCAACATTTACAAGATGAAGCTCTTGCAAGTTGGTGAGGTTTCCAAACTGTGAAGGAATAGTTCCATAAAGAGAGTTACTGGAAAAGGAAAGGTGCCTTAACTGGGTCAAGTAACCAATGGACCTGGGAATAGCTCCATGAAAAGAATTGTAGGAAAGGGAAAGGTACCTTAATCGAGTCAAAGAACCAATGAAAGTAGGAATGGTTCCATTGAAAGCATTGAAGGAAAGATCAAGATGATTCAAGTAGGTTAAGTTAAGCAAGGAATGGCTAATCTCACCTCGAAGACCATCCTGTGAAAAGAAGTTGTTGAGTTCAAGCTTTGTGACATGACCAGTTTGGTTGCTGCACTCAACTCCACTCCATTTACAGCAGTCATGTTGGTCAGATCTCCATGTAGAGAGAGTATCAAAGGGGTCATGAAGGGGAGCTTTGAAGAGAAGGAGCGCAAGTCTCTCATTATCCAAACACTTTTTCATATTAACACCATTTCTATCATCTCCTCCTTCTCCCACTGCTACCAATTGGCTGGTAGTTGCAGTCACAAGGAGTACCAAGAAAAGTGAGAAAACTATAGAAGCACAAGGATTCATAATTTAATTAAAAATGAAAATCTTGGTGATTTTTGGTTTGTAATGATGCCTGCCTATATGAACTGCACCCGTGAGTGTTTATATATATAGTCTCGACTGTGAGCATAAGTGATTCTAAACGGGTGGCCTTGAATTAATTGTGTCGGGGATACAGTATTTAATTCCCATGAAATTAGAACCAAACTATAAGAAAAAATCAAAGATGAAGATTTGAAATAAATGTCTCAAATTAGTCGTTCAAAGACTTGCAAGTCTTGACAATTTGCATATATTATCTATATATCTTATCCGATTTCATAATATATTCAAAGACTTTAAAGTGATGTTTACCATAACCTTTATTAAATACAAACATATAAGAATGTAAACGCAAACATTGAACTGACCACCAATTTAACAACAACTATTTAATAAATCTCGTATTCCCATTTCATTGTTAAACAATTTATGTTTATGCTATCCTAAGAGTATTTTTATGAAATCAATTAGAAAAGTTTTAGCAGAAACATATATCTAATTTATCATATCAATTAATTCAAAATTTTCGAACAGAAACATAAACCCACTATTCAACAGAAACGAAAAAAAATTCAAACAAAATCAAAAGAAACGTTATTCAACAGAAAAAAAAATAGAGAACAGGGATGAAGAGAGAAATGCGTTGAGTTTAGTGATGGCCAATTATTTACCAGACGGAAAACCAAGAAGATGACAACGGTCGCAAAAAACAACATATTTAAAAGAATAATAAAGATTGTATACAAGTTACATTTTGTTGGAAGTCATTTATACATAAACATATTTTTATAAAGAAAAGAATAATTTAGCAAAAAAATACAATATTTTAGTTCAATTTATTAAACGATTTATTAATAAATTTTGTTTCTACAATAAATATAATGTGTAGTTCGGTTAGTCAAAAAAAGTTAAATACCTTGCTCATTAACAACAATATTATACTTAACTTGGCTTAAATTTAAAAGTGAGTTTTCGATATATTCAAGGGCACTTTATTTTGTTTTTCTCTCGGGCCCCAAATATGTATGGACCGACTTTGGTCAAAACATAAATCATAAAGCTTATAAAATACTTTTTTCTTACAATACATTTTGGTATGTGCATATTTAATCATGTATTTTGTGCATATTTATAATACTTTTAGTTACAATTATGCTTATTTTGGGACACAAGGTACTTATTATGTTTAAAATATGTTTTGTAGTAGCAAATACATGTTCGGTATGAAAAGGGAGAAACCGAGAAGTTGGAAGCAGGAAAAATTGGGCAAAGTTAAAAAGAAAACAAATAATGCATGAAGTCTGAAGTCCACGGCATGGTCACTCTATTCCACGTTGTGGTAAATGGAAGATTCACGATCAACGATCTGACTTGGAAAATACGGGATTTAACAGAAGACCACAACCTGGTGCCTATTCATCATGCTATAGAGATCAAGTTTATGGAAACTATATATATTCGAACATTAGATCGAATGTAGAGACCCTTGCCCAATTTTCTGAGAGGGATTACGGCTAAAACCCTCTGGAAAACCTTGGGAAAATCAGGAATCAATTGGAGCTCAAGAGTTGAAGAGATCTAGACGAAATCAACATAGATCTATTCAGTTTGCTAGCATTACTCATGTCTAGTCTTAATTACATTGATTTAGTGTGCTTTTCTATTGTGATGAGAGGATAAAAACCTTATACTTCTATTTGGTAAAGATGAACCCAAATCTTATGTGTTGATTTCAATTTATGGATGTTTTACATTGATTTTACTTATGTTTGATACTCAAAACCCTAACATGTTTTAGTTCTAGTATTTGAATGCCTTGCTTTGACTTTAGTGTAGTAGATGATCATTCTATTTGCATGAACTTGTTTACCTAGTGATTTATGATCATTAAATTGCTAGAGCTAGGATTAATCACATCTTAGATTAGGTAATTAAAGCTAGTAACTTTAAATTTGTTAGAGGGCATAATAAATCTTAAATTGTGCTTGGTTACTTAACTTGATCATAGCAAAGTAACTATTAGATTTATCATTCATAGTCCAATTTGTGCTTATATCAATTTTTTGTTTAACCTATGCTTGATCATTGCATGGTAATTCATAAATTGGCACATCTTTGCATTTGATCATAATAACTAGTAAATTAATGAATTGGTATGTCCTGGTAGCATGTGTTTGCACCATAATTCATTGACAGAGCATTGCGAAATCTCATCAGCTTATGGTTTTATATGCTGAATCAATAACTACTTTTATTAGACGAATTAGAAGAAGAATGGTATGATACATGTAATAGACTCTAGTGTTTTGTTGTACCCATCGACATAGAGTTTCCAAGCTCTCATCAACATTTGTTATTAAATGTTGAATCATAAAACTTTAAACAAGAAAATTAGGTAAGAATGGATTGATGCGTGTGATAGTCTATGGTATATAGACTAACCATCGGCATAAATGTTTCAAGATCTCATCAGTGTATGGTATTTTATACTGAATCATTAAACTTTAAAGAAGAAAATAGGGCGAGAATGGATTGGTGCGTGTGATAGCCTAACGTACATAAACTAACCATCGACATAATTTTTTTCAAGCTCTCATCAGTGTATGGTATTTTACGCTGAACTACGAAACTTCAAAGAAGAAAATCAGGGCAATAGTGGGTTGATGTGTATGATAAACAACAGTACATAGTTTAACCTGTTGGATTAGGTGTCTAAGCCCATAACTATAATTGGGATATACTTAACCCGATAGTAGCATAGTCCTTTTGGGTTGCCTTCACCATAGCAATTTGATAGGATGAATTATGAAGAAAGAGGTTAACTATGATTTATTATTATATTATAAGAATAATATATTAATTGAGAAATCATATTATTTAATTAGTATTTATCATAAATTAATTTGGAATTAATTTATTGATCGAAAGAGACTGATTAAATTGATGGGGACTAATTATCTAAATCAATGATAGTTGTAATTTGGGCTAATGTATCCTATTCCCATGGGATGGACGAAAATCTATGGGAAGCCCGTAGAATTTCGTCTAAGTCATGCCATACGGGGATCCATATGTTGCTTAGGGCCTAAACAAGGGAATTAGGGTTTCTAAGTCGTAAACCCTAGGAGCAACAACTATAAAAGGAACCCCATGGCTCACAAAATTGGACCCTGTGATTTCATAAGAAACTTTAACCGATTTTGAGGCTTCCTTCTCTCTCTCTTGTTCTTCCTTGTTGCTAGTGATGTTTGTGATTCCGTTAGAGGTGCAACATTTGAGGCACTAAGCTCTTAAAGGTCAAGATCAAATCAACAACAAGAAAGGTATTCTTCTAACCCTAATTTGAATATAATTTCATTCTTATAAATGCTAGATTAGGGTTCTTGCTTTGGAATTTTAATTTGCATGTATAACTTGAGAAAAACCTAGATTCAAAGCATTAGGGTTGCATGTACACCATAGGAATGTTGTAGTGCTCAAAACCCATCAGTGGTATCAAAGCTTAGGGTGTTTTTCTATTGTATGATGCAATTGTATTATTTTCAAGGCTGAAAAAGTTTCGTTTTTGGCCACTGGCTGCTGGACTCGACGGGTCCCATGAAGGATCTCGATGAGTCCATGCCCTGACTCGACAAGTTGGTTCGTCTGGTGGCAGGATTTTTGGAGTTTTGGCCTAAATTAGATTTGGATAATTACCATAAATTGTTTTTATTGATTAAATTCAAATTATATAATTTGGCAATGGATATCCTCAACTAATTAAAAGGTAATTGTCAAATTTTAAGATAATTACAAGATTATGTGATAAATTAATTATTTGTAAATTTTGATTTGAATTTTCTTGCCAAATAAATTGGATTAGATCATATTTGTGATAATGATAAAATTATATGATTAATTTAATTGTTTTAAATTTGATCTAGAAGTTTTGAAAAGTTTCAAAATTTGTCCTCAAGTTTTGGAATTTAAAATTTGATTAAAAGTTTTAGTTGTGAAATATAAAATTCTAAAACCCTAGCATTTTAAATGGTTAAAATACTCATAATTTAAATTTAGATTTGATGGTTTTAATTTTGGAAATTTAAATGGACACAAGTAGAAGGAATAATTATGGATTTATTGATAAATAATTAAAAGATTAATTAAGAAAGTAATAATAAATCCATAATAACATGGTGTAAACTTTTAATTGAATTGAAAGTCTAATTTATTTAAAAGATTAAACCACCAAGTATTTTAAAAGTTTAAAATACACCCTTGTACTATTATAAGATTAAAAGTTTAATTTTATATATATATATATATATATATATATATATATATATATATATATATATAGAGAGAGAGAGAGAGAGAGAGAGGGGAGAGAGAGAGAGAGAGAGAGAGAGCTAGGTTCAAATGTTTTTAGTAATTATTGTGTGCCTAAATGCACCAATCAGAAAATTACAAATAATTAAATAATTAATTAAATAGAAAAGGGTATTTTCGGTTTTTTGCATTAGCAATTAATGAGATCATTTAAATAAATCCCTACAATTAATGGAACAAAACAAATACCTAATATACTTCTTTTACAAACGTGTACATCAATTTTTTCCCTTTATTATCTCTTCTCCCTCTCTTTCTCTAATCCTACCTTTGCATCTTCATAACCCTAACCAAATTGCCGACCATCCCATTGTTGTGGTTCACACACATTTTTCCTTCGATTTTTGTGGTTTCCCCCTATCACCTCTCATTTTTTCACGATTGTTCCTTTTGGGCAGGTTCGATTTGCCTTTGATTTACGTGTCGATCTTCACCTTTCTCTATCCCTCTCGCCCCACGTCGCTGATTTCGACCGGAGACGAAAAAGAGAAGCAGCAACAACAAAGATGCCTCCTTCAAGCAGCAGGTAATTAGAGGGTGTCCACTCAGTCAACGGTTGTGTCTATCCTCTCTCCGATTCCTGCAATACTAGACGATTGGTTATTGGTCACCAC